CCAGTAAATGTTTTTCTCGGAAGAAGAAGAAGGAAGAAGAGACCTTTCAAGAAAAATGGCGAAAGGCGAAATGAGAGCAGAGGCAAGGGCCATACGGTAAGCCACTAGAACATGCGGACTCATGCCGTCGTTTAACGCGAATTTCGCGACGATAGACATCAACGCGTAACAAAACTGTATGAATATGACTGCCAAGAACGGCTTCGATCTCTCCAGCACTGACATTTTTTTGAAGCTTCCTGATCAAATCTCTCTCTTTTGTGGGTAGTAGCCCCAAAAAAAAAAAAACCCTGAAAGATGATGGGTTTATGACCAGAGAGAGCACAGAGGGGAGAGAGTATTATAGTTTTTGCTCTCTCACCATTTTTACATGCTTCGGACAAGAGCCGAGAGCCGTATTATAGGATGTCTCTCTACTGGGTTGTGGGGTCCACAGTTTTTAAAAGGGGTTTAATTTCAACTAATTTAATTATTTTAGAGGTGTTAAAAATATGAAAGATATGGATTAGCATTTAATATTCGTCAAGTTTGGTTTTACGTATATATTCATTATTCAATCCTAGATTATCATAACCTCTTAATTATTTTTTTTTATAGAGAAATATTTTCCTTTTATAAGATAATGAATATCTCAAATATATATTTAAATCGGCAAAAAAGAAATAAAAAACAAGCGTGAAAGATAATCAATACACGAAAAGAAAGAGCAAGAAACTCGTTTCTTCGTCTGATGTGTTTAAGGGGGAAAAGCCTCGTAAACCCCAAAACAACCAAATTCTGTTTGTGTGTGTTTGATGACTCCCTTTTGGATCAATAAATACGGCAGTTGCAAAATGGTTCTCTCATTCTCTCTCTTAAAATCGCTACCAATATTTTACATCTATTTTATTTTATTTTCTTTAATTTTTTTAAATATATATGAAACCCCCCCTCACTATCTTCGGATACGTAACGGGTAAATCCAATCTCTCGTATTCTGCTGTTAAAGAGTCTAATATTCATACGAATAGAACGAGTTCCATTAAACTGGAGTTTTACTTTATCGGTTTCTTTGGTTATTTCCGGTTAGTTCGGTTTATTCCAGTTTAGGTTCACTCGGTTTGATTATTATTTTCTATTTTCTGGATTTTTTTAAAACTTAAACTGTAGCTTAGCTTTCATTTCGGCGAATCCATGCGAATTGAATTTAATCCCAAATTTGAATCTCTCTTCTTCCATTGCACGATAACGAGTATACGATATTCTGACATTTTAATTATAAAAAATATTTATTTTCTAAAATATCATTTCAATTTCATTTTTTTATTACTATTTCTACACTCCAGTAAATGTTTTTCCTTTTAGGTCGACTTTATATATTGGATATGTCATATGTGTAATCATTTAATCAGTTTTATTAATATCCATTTTTGCATTCATGACGCGTTTTGTTTTCCACGTGTTTGTACGTTACGCACCATGCATGTAGGACTGTGGATTCCAAACGTCCTACATTTCTGTTTTGTTTTATTTTTTTTTATAAAGTTGAGAATACTTTGAATTTGATAATTAGAATTTAGTCCCTATGTTTTATTTATTTTTGTATATTCTTCCTCAAACCTTTCTGAGTTTTTCATTTCCATACCCAACATTTCATGATTTTTGAGACACCAAAAAAAAATATATAATGGAATTGTGACAAGCTTTTCAGTTATTGCATAATAGTTTTATATTAAAGATATAGATTACGTAAAAAAACCTAGAAAGCTATATAACATTATATATATTTATATATATCGGGAATTTTCTTTTGAAGATAGACGACCCACGATTTTAGTTATATTTTTACAAATGATTCATGTTGCGTTTGAACCGACTAATGTTTAAATATAGAATAACCGTGTGTAATCGTTGAAATCTAGTCACGTAACTTTAATTGCATTTAATATATGGTTTTGGTGTAACTCATCGTTGTTTGTTACTAGGCAACATATCATGTCATATTTTTTTTTAATCATATAATGACCTTATTTTCTAGCAAGGGTTAATATTTCGTTTCAAATATAGAAAATTAAATTAAATTGAATAATATATATAAAACCCAAATAGTATTATTATTCTAAAACCAAATTAATTGAATAGAGCTATTCCGAATGGATGAAAAATGTAAATTTGTTTAAAAATAACATCTTTTGGGTCTGTTAGTAAATATAAAATACTTGGAGGATTTAAAAGTAATAATGACATCTTAAGTAAAAAGAAGTTTTATTTCTTAAAAAGAACGAAAACGAAACGTGAAGGGGAAGAAGGGCTTTCACTAGCGAAGAGAATTCCAAAAAGCAAAGAGAGGGAAAAAAAAATCCCCTGTCGTTCTGCGTTTTCTCTTAGAGCCCTAGTATTCTCGACTCTTCAATTTGATTTGTTGCGAGTTCCTCGGCGAAAATGGTGGGTTTCTGTCTCCATTGCGCAACTCCCGTCTCTCCAGTTAACTTGATTTGCTTTGGGATTTGAATTTGGCGTTTCTTCGGTGCGGTTTTTTCTGAGATTAAGCGTTTAGTGCTTGACTCGCGAATCTAATGGGTTATATCCGAGCTTATGCGCTTCTCTGGTTCAAATCTTCAGTAACCTGGAAAATTATAGCTCATATACGTGTCTTTTGATTGTCTGATCTGAAATCATGAATGCCATTTTACTCTTTCTGTGTCACGAGTGCTTGAAATTTGAGCTATTTCTGTGGATTGCTTGATATGTTGATACTAGATTCAAATCGGTTTGCAGGATTCATTTGTCTTCTCAATTGACCCCAATTGACTTCGTCTATTTTAGTTTTTCGGCATCGGTTTTTGGGTTCGTGTTGCGATGTGTATTGGTTATACATTCTCTACGCATCTGATTGAAATTAGGGATTTGTTTTCGCTTAAAATGCCATCGTTGAAGTTGAAAGATTTTACGTTTGTTACATTATATTTGCATTCAGGAACTGGTATGGGGATTTGCGATTGTCGGGTCGTTGCTTTGCCGAGTTAGTATCGCTTTACAAAGCGTGATTCTTTGTCAAAATTTGGAGCTGCGTCGAATGACATTCGGAAATTTGGTGGCTACCAAATCAGAAGTTAGCATAAGAATGCAGATTTGTCCGATGGCTTTGTGATGTCCTTTTTTAATGCTCGCAACTTGCAAGTGAATTTACACAAGAGCAGTGGCCATATAGAATGAGTGTAGCTATGTAAGGGAACCCAAGTCCCAAAGTCTTGATCTGTCATTTTCCTTCTTGATTTTCAGATCATCAATGGGGTTTCCCAGTTGTTGTGGGTTCTATAGAGTAAATTCTTACAGACTACGAAAGCTGATCTCGATATGGCTGTAGTGTAGTCTCGACAAATGCATTTCCTTGTTTCCCTTCCCCCTTCCCCCGATCAACGGGGACGCTTTGTGCACCGGGCTGCCCTAAATATATGTTTAACTATGAATCTCTGCATGTGAAGAAGAACAATATTGCACAAATATTAGAAGCTAGATTAGCTGGCTCTTGAACTGATACAAAGGATAAAGCATTGTATCATCTAAGCATGGTGCCTGCCTGCTTAATATTCCCATTTTTTTTCTCTTCAGGCAAATGCAGCTTCTGGTGTTGCTGTGCATGGTGATTGCAAGCTGAGATTTCTGGACCTCAAGGCGAAAAGGACTTACCGGTACATAGTCTACAAAATCGAGATGGAGCAGAAGGAAGTTATTGTCGAGAAGCTCGGTGAACCCACTGAAAGTTACGAGGATTTCTCTGCAGCCCTCCCTGCTGACGAGTGCCGCTATGCTGTGTACGATTTCGACTATGTCACGGATGAGAACTGCCAGAAGAGCCGCATTGTTTTCATCGCCTGGTAACAATGATCCCATTGTTCTCTGATTCTGTCCGAACCCACGTAACCGAACCGTTTGTGATTGCTTTTATTCCCGCGGTTAGGTCACCTGACGCTTCGAAGGTGAGGAACAAGATGATATACGCAAGCTCCAAGGACAGGTTCAAGAGGGAGCTTGACGGGATCCAGATCGAGCTGCAAGCCACCGACCCAACCGAAATGGGTCTCGACGTGATCAGGAGCCGCTCGAATTAAGAGTGAGTGAGAGGTCTGTCATGGTATTCAACATGGGTATTCACCAGATATACCTTTCCTTATAGCAGAAGGGGAAAAAGACCTTTCTTTTTCTTGTTTCGTGTTTGTTTCCATAGAGAGGTAGAGAAGAGTGATTTGTGTGACGAGAGACGAGAGCTTTCAATTTCTCTCTCACTGGGATCGTCGATCCTTTCTTCCTTCTACGTTCTTCTTTTGGGTTTGACTGATTATCCAGATTTTGTTGATCAAGTAAATCACAGACTTACCCCATAGTTATTGTTGATCATGATTTTGTAGGGTATCAATTTGGGCCGAGGCCCGAAGCCCGAACTGGTAAGTCCAATATTAGTGGATTTTGGGTCTAAGTTTTTCGGTTCCGGGGTCGGATTCGAATCGAGTTTCAGGTCCGAATCGGACCGATTTGAAAACCCGATATTCTAAAAAAAAAAAGAAAAAAAAGATTTATAAAGGAATTTTTGCGGTCCGATCTGATCTAAATCTATAATATATAGGATCGGTCTTCGGACTTAACTATAAAGTTTTGAAGAAAATCGGATCGATCTGACCGCAAATCCGAAGTCTTCGGACCGAATGCGGTGTTCAGATCGGGCTCGATTGACATCCCTACAATTTTGATTCTCAACTTTTGATTCTTGATATGATCGTGTTGCCATAAAAATTAGAGGTGGACGTTTTGGAAATCGATTCGGGTTTAGGATATGAATGTATCGATTCGGTTTTTTCGATTTTAACAAAAATAGATACCAATCAATTTTTATATTATGTTAGTTCGAATTCGATTCGATTCTGATTTTTATTAAATATATGTATATATATATATATATATATATATATATATATATATATTTAAAATTTTCGATTTTTTAAAATTTTTAAAATTCAGTTTGGTTTCAATTTTTATCATTTTTTTACTTAATTATAAAATACTTTTTTCAAAAATTTTAAAAACATATATTGAACTATTTTCTATTTTTAATTGTGATTTGGTTAACATTGATCATTCTTCTGCTTTCGGATATGATTTTTTTTTTTTGAAAAAGCAAAAGAAACCTCTCGAATCAGCGAGAAACAAAGATTTTAAGGCGGGTGTTTTCATTCTGCGCCCAAGGAAGACAAGATCCAACGGCTGAGATTTCATCGCGAGAACCTTCTCGAATCTTTACACCGACCGTTCTCTCTTTATTTAACCCGTTTCTTTCTTCCTCACTCACGGTGCTACGAAAACAAAACTCAAGAACAATTTCTGAAACGATTTCTCTTCTCTCTGTTTCGGTTTGATTCTTCCTCTGAATTCTTTACCCAGCAAAGTTTCTGAGTTCTCATGGCGGGAAAAGGAGAAGGTCCGGCGATCGGAATCGATCTCGGGACGACGTATTCATGCGTCGGAGTATGGCAACACGACCGTGTCGAGATCATCGCTAATGACCAAGGAAACCGTACGACGCCGTCGTACGTTGCCTTCACCGATACCGAGCGTCTGATCGGAGACGCGGCGAAGAATCAAGTCGCGATGAACCCTATCAACACCGTCTTCGGTAAGCTTCCTCTGGTTCTGCATCACTCAGTTTATTTTCTTATTTAAGTGATTATAAACTTAGGTTTGGATGATCGGTTGGATTATCACTGCTGCATGTTAATTTCCGTTAGTTTGGTGCTTCGTATGACATGATCATTTGACACGCAACACTGCAAATTGTAGCTAGTGCTGGATTATGCTTTAAGTTACAATCGGTGATGATTTACACCATTGGAGGTGATGAATGATTGGAGATTGTGTCTGAATTCTTTAACTTCGTTCTGAAGTGGTTAAGCAGAGAAAATGTTTCTGAGTTCTCGGTTTCATTCCGAACTATATGTACAGCCCGTCTAATGGATTCTTGAATTTGATTTGCAGATGCCAAACGTCTCATCGGTAGAAGATACAGCGACCCATCAGTCCAAGCCGACATGAAACTATGGCCATTCAAGGTCATTCCTGGTCCTGGCGACAAACCCATGATCGTGGTCAACTACAAGGGCGAGGAAAAACAGTTCGCGGCGGAGGAAATCTCGTCCATGGTCCTCATAAAAATGCGCGAGATAGCCGAGGCTTATCTCGGCACGAGTGTGAAGAACGCGGTGGTCACTGTACCTGCTTATTTCAACGACTCTCAGCGTCAAGCTACCAAAGACGCTGGTGTGATCGCTGGCCTCAATGTTATGCGTATCATCAACGAGCCGACCGCAGCAGCAATCGCGTACGGTCTTGACAAGAAGGCATCGAGTGTCGGTGAGAAGAACGTGTTGATCTTTGATCTGGGTGGTGGTACTTTCGACGTGTCTTTGCTCACGATCGAAGAGGGTATCTTCGAAGTGAAGGCAACGGCTGGTGACACTCACCTTGGTGGCGAGGATTTCGACAACAGGATGGTGAACCATTTCGTTCAAGAGTTCAAGAGGAAGCACAAGAAAGACATTAGCGGGAATCCACGAGCTCTGAGGAGGTTGAGGACAGCATGTGAGAGAGCCAAGAGAACTCTCTCCTCCACTGCTCAAACCACCATCGAGATTGATTCCTTGTACGAGGGTATCGATTTCTACACAACCATCACCCGTGCGAGATTCGAGGAACTCAACATGGATCTCTTCAGGAAATGTATGGAGCCCGTTGAGAAGTGTTTGCGAGACGCTAAGATGGACAAGAGCAGCGTTCATGACGTCGTCCTCGTTGGTGGCTCCACTAGAATCCCCAAGGTTCAACAGCTTTTGCAGGACTTCTTCAATGGCAAGGAGCTTTGCAAGAGCATTAATCCAGACGAGGCTGTGGCCTATGGTGCGGCCGTTCAAGCTGCCATCTTGAGCGGTGAAGGCAACGAGAAGGTCCAAGACCTCTTGTTATTGGATGTCACCCCCTTGTCTCTGGGTCTTGAGACAGCAGGCGGTGTCATGACTGTGCTTATCCCGAGAAACACGACCATTCCGACCAAGAAAGAACAGGTCTTTTCGACTTATTCAGACAACCAGCCCGGTGTACTTATCCAAGTCTACGAAGGGGAACGTGCGAGGACAAAGGACAACAACCTGTTGGGCAAATTCGAGCTCTCGGGCATTCCTCCTGCACCCCGAGGTGTTCCTCAGATCACCGTTTGCTTCGATATTGATGCCAATGGCATCTTGAATGTGTCGGCTGAGGACAAGACCACTGGACAGAAGAACAAGATCACGATCACCAATGACAAGGGAAGGTTGTCCAAGGAAGAGATCGAGAAGATGGTGGAAGAAGCCGAAAAGTACAAGGCCGAGGACGAGGAACACAAGAAGAAGGTCGAGGCCAAGAACGCGCTCGAAAACTATGCTTACAACATGAGGAACACGATCAAGGACGAGAAGATCGGTGCAAAGCTTGATCCTGCGGACAAGAAGAAGATCGAGGACGCCATTGACCAGGCGATCCAATGGCTTGACGGGAACCAGCTGGCTGAGGCGGACGAGTTCGAGGACAAGATGAAGGAACTTGAGGGTATCTGCAACCCGATCATTGCTCGGATGTACCAAGGTTCGGGGGCTGATATGGGCGGGGCCGGTGGTGGGATGGATGACGATGGTGCTCCTTCCGGCGGAGCTGGTCCCAAGATCGAAGAAGTCGATTAAGCAAAAGGAATCCATTTCTTGACCAAGTTTGCTACAATCTATCGTTCCGTTCCGGTTATCGTTTGGTTTATGTTGAAGTACGGTTTCAATGTTGTCATGGTTTTAAAACAATGAAACTTTCAGTCTCTTTTCCGGTTCGAGTCTGAACACACTCCGAAATTTTATGTGGAGAAATTTAGTTAAATGGACCTGTCAAAGAACAAGAGTGCTTTTGAACTGAATCGTATCTTAATCTCGATTTAATTTCACTGAGAGTATCAAAACACAAACAAAGAACCAATAAAAAAACGTTGTACAACAAAAAATCTGATAAAAAAAATCAAATGTATCTAATAATAACAATGGTAATGACAAGTTACTCGAGCTCAAACGGGCGGAGACAAACACGGACTTCGTGTTCTTGAGGACCCGTCCTATGTTTAGGCACCATAATCTCCAACATTGTCCCCGTCTCGTCCCGGTAAGCCTCCAGCTTCGCATTGTCCGGGATCCGGCTTGGTAAGAAGATTTCCCGGATGAACTCACCCGGCGGACAGTGTTCGGGTGCCGAGTCCGATAGCTTGAATGTACGCTCGTGTCGCTTGATGACTGGCATACACGAGGTGCTCACGCACGATACCTTCACTATTCCATGTCTCGGAGTGTTCCTCCATGTCACTTTCACCTTCCCTAGATCGATCAGTGGCAGGCTGACGATGATCAAGAACCCGTTCTCGTCTTCGTATATCGTCTTGGCGGCCGTGACTGGCCCGTACATGTTGTTCTTCATCACCCCGGTGAACTCGTTTGACCATGATGGCAACTCGGTTGAATAGGATTCTTCCCCGTTTGCAGGAACGAGACAGTCCTTTCGGCGTTTGTTGTTGCTACAATGGGGTTGGTATACAATATCCATGGCATTAGCTGCGTGGTCTGGTGAATGAGCAGACAGATTCAGACAAGGACCGTTGAGTTTATTCACTTGGATGTGGCCGTTGGCTTTAGGCGGCAGAGGAAGTAGTCGTTCAAGCTCAAATTCCATGTGGGGGAGGTTCCTCCATGAGCCGTAATCACTTGCTTCGGTCGGGATATAGAAGTTGACATCTCGACCCGTGAGCTCCATCCATCGTTTCTTTTCGTCCTCATCGAGCATGGAAAGGCCTGGCGACCGAACAACTTCGATCCCGTGTAGACACTGTGGGTTAGAAAGGCCGCGATAGTGTTTCCTCTGCATCCTATGAGAGCGGACGAAACCTTTGTCCACGCTGAAAGGGAAAGGACGCTCGCCCTGACGGGAATGGCCATTCATGTAACTCCGTAGCTGCATCTTACCAAGTGCATTATCGGGCTTTTGCTTGAATACCCACATGTACATATTTTCCATATCGTGCTGGACCAAGAATGAATCGAGCTGTAAGTCAGATTTCCCGTACCCAGACAAACTGTTGTTGCAATCCCTCGTTATCTTAGTCTTGGACTTCTCATTCAAGACGGGTTTGAAGCAGAAACTAAAGAAAACCCAAGCACCCCACACACTATCCACACGCTTACTGTACTTCTTCGCAGACTTGGGCACGTGAACAACAGCCACGGACTCGTAAATCGGAGGCCTGAGTCCAACATCTAAGATGTCACAGTGGTCGTTCCATGAAAATGGAGGAGGACTAGCTTCAGATGAGAGTGGGAGATTGATATCGGGTGCACCTGAAAGCAAGACAGGAGACCGGTTCGTTTCTCTTTCAGTTTCTTCAGGAGTAAAAGCTCCCGAATCCATGGACAGAAGCGTGGATGGGTGATAATTCTCCATAGAAAGTGCAGTGAGGAGCATCTCCCCCATATTTCTTACGACAATTCTTATTTTTACGCCTTTGTTTCCCGCGTATATCCCACAGGGCTAAAAGCAACACTCCATCATCAAACCTAAAGCGACAGAGATTAGAATGTCAATCCACAAATCCATAGATACAACTCAATGATATCTTCATTTTGCACGATCTGACAAGCCTCCACCAGAAATTCACGTCGATTTTCACGAGCAATTCCACGCCTTTGGCCTAATCACGGTAAATCCACATCAAATTCAGAAATCCCGCCTGGAATATCAAAGAGACAACATAAACATGATCAAGATCAATCTAAACTTCAATGTACACCATATCCAAACCCTTAAAACGCATTGAGATGCAGAAATCTCGGCTGAAAATTAATGAGACCATTGAACAATAATCAAGAACAATCTAAATTTCAATGTACACCATATCCAAATCCTTAAAATGCATTGAGATGCAGAAATCTCAGCTGAAAAAACAATGAGATCATAGAACAATAATGGAGAACAGTCTAAATTTCAACGTACACCATATCCAAACCCTTAAAAGGCGTGGTGAAACAAACATAATCGCATCCATTTTGCTATTGAGAAACCAATGATCTAAGAAAACAAAAACTCCGATCCGATGCAAAAATCTATTAGCATTATCGTGTCAATTCAAACGAAAGGTCTCTACTTCAGAGATCCCCATATGTTCAATTTCCAGATCTCCTATTGTTTCATTTTCGGTTACTTTATTGGCCGCTAAAACGATTCAGTCGCGAAACAAAATCGCGCCAAAACGAAACACATAATATTCAGATTCAAACCAATTGGGATCATCAACAACGACAACTCAAACATAGGGAAACGAAAACCCTAATCGAGAAATCAAAACAAAATAATGAAATCAAGAAAAAAAAAATCGGTGTGTTATTCCATGAAGCTGTCTTTTTTACCTGAAAATCAATAAGGCTTTGGTATTGGCTGAGAAGAAGTATAGGCGCTTCTGTCAAATAAACCCCATTTTCGAGATCGAGAAGAAGTAGAAAAAGAAGAAGAAGAAGGGTAGAGAGATTTCACCAGTCCAGACATATGATGCCGTTAGTTAACGCCGTTACATGGACCTTGTCGATTTCTTCGCTGACTTATATTCGGTGCTCACTTTCCTATCAATCAATAATGTGGACATTTAATGTCAAGTGCCACGTGTACTTGCTAAAGAAATTTTAATGTTTTTATATTTGAAAATATTAACCAAAAGATAATATTTTTTAATTGGTCATATTTCATCTTTCATCTCATCCAAAAGTTTGTTTATGCCTATTCGATATATCTCATTTTAGTTTTTCACATTTTGAAACCAATTCTTATTGCAACTTTTGATGATAATTCTTATATTTGAAATCACACACTTTGATTTTAAGGTTACCACGTGGCGGCGATGGCACACTGTGGATTTAGGATACCGAACTAGGGTGGATATTTCGATTCTATTCTTTAAAATTAATACGAACCGAAAAATACGATATTTTTTTTAATTCCAATCTTTTAAAAATTTTTAGATGATATTATTTTTAGAAATCAAAACGAATCAAACCGAATTTTAAAAAAAACTTAAAAAAACTGATTTTTTTTAAAAAATCTAATTTTTTTAATAAAATCGAAAACGAACCGAACCGAAATCGAATCAAACATAATATAAAACCGATTAGTATCTATTTTTTATAAAACCAAAAAACCCGAACCTATATATTTCCGTCCTGAATACGAAACCGATTACCTGACTGAACTTAGATAGAGAAATGTCGAGATTCGCTCCTAATTCTGAACTTTCCGAAACTTTTCGGACCTATAAATTCAATGGAGTCCGATCGTTTTTCGGGTGAACTCGGGCCGGGTGCCAGGTCCCGCGCCGCACAACTATAAAGAACTCTGAAATCAGAAATGGGCCGAAAAGGAAGCCCGACTACAAATCTCCGAGACGAGATTCTCCCTCGCTCTCGTTCGATCTCCACAGCTGATCCCGATTTTGTCCTTCTCCTGCAATCGAAATCAGAAACAGAAGCGACTCGAAGATTATTCGTCGATTCGAGATTCGTATCAAGGTTCGTGGTTCTTAGATCTCAATTTTCTAGTTTTAGCTATTGAATCTGTGATTTATGCGTACATGGATTTGTGTCTATATTTCGGTTCTCTCGAAATTGCTTGACTGCTTCATGTTAGACGATTTTTTTCCCGTTCTAGATTTTCCTCTGTTATTGACGATTGTTTCTGTCTGTTACTCTCAAATAGGAACATACAATGAGAAGTGCTCGAGTTTGATACGTTATGAGCATGGTAGAGGGATGGAATTTTGTATATGAAATGGCTGAAAGAAGGGAATTTGGTCTGCTTTTCTACTGTGATTTTGCTGTGTAGTGGTTTGGCGAAGTGTGATCGAATTTTTACTTTTTCTATCCTGAATTTGATATCTTTCTGTCTACGTAATTTTCAGATGCTGCAAGAACATATAGCTAGGGTTTTGGTTTTCTTATACGAATTTAGGGATTTTCTCACCACCATTTGATTTCCCACTTTAATTTTGCTTGAAGTTAGATGGTTACATTAGATCACCGGTCCATATTCATATTTGTCAATTAAGTGGTGTGTCCACAGTCCATATTCATATTTGTGAATTCTATGGTGTTTTGTAGGTAAAAACCTTGGTGTTGCTCTTGTATGTGCGGCTGCTCGGAAAGGGATATAATTGGGGCATGAATTGATTACAGGAAACATAAATAGGTAATATCTTAAGTATTGCATCAAAGGAATAAGAAAGACTTCAGAGGACAAATAAGAAGAAGATCCTTCCACTGTCTCTAAAAAGCCTAATTCATGTCTAGAGCAAGGTTCAAAAGGGAATTACCCCCTGCTCAAGAGGTATGAGATTCTGTTCGCACATTTTGCTAATTTTGATTGCAGTGAGAAATAGAGAGTGATGAGAATAAGGTGTGGAATTCTATTAACTTGAATGGGCAGGTGAAGAAAATTTTTGGTGATCCCTTGAGTTCGTTTGAGAGTCTGATTATTTGACTTGAATTCTCTGTATGTTTGCCTCTAGAACGGTGAATTTTTTTCATATACTGAATCACCTATTGATTACCCGGTGATCAAATTTGAGGGTGATTATTTTCCTTTGGATTTCCTTAGGACTGCTTGAAATTTTATGATCTGAGTTAAGTGAAGTCTATGGTATTATGCATCAGGGAAGACTTAATTTTCAATACATGTTGCTTTTCTTGTTACGCATTGCAGCATATTGAGAAGTTGAGGAAGGTGGTAGACGAAGGGAATTATTATGGAGCACTGCAGATGTACAAATCTATCAGTGCAAGGTATCTCCTCTCATCTCCCATACTTGTTCACCATTACCTATGTTATCTGTTTCTGTCGACTTTGTTAGTGTTTGTTGACTTTGCTTATTGTATTATTGTTAACTGGGAGTGATTGTGTTGGGGATTTGTCATTCTTGCTTTTCCAATCATGGCATCATGCAAAACATATTTGTTTCATGTCACCTTCATATTTGATTCATCGTATTCGTAATGAAAATGGCGAACATATCGATAAAATATTTGCTTTTGCCGCAGATATGTTTCTGCGCAGAGATTCTCTGAAGCTCTTGATATCCTCTTTTCAGGAGCATCCCTTCAACTAGAGCATGGCCAGGTTTGTTCCTTTTCCTTTTACTTGTTATACCTCTAGTTCTCTGCTTTCTTGTTGTTGAAGTTGGGATTACATTTGGTGGCAAGGTTTTAAACTTGATCCCTTTGGTAGATTCTCCTGTTCAGTTTTGCTTTTTGTTTTCTTAATGATTTTCTCTGTAAAACAATTTATTATCAGGTGAGTTGCGGGGCAGACCTTGCACTTCTATTTGTCGATACCTTAGTTAAGGCCACAGCTCCTTGCAATGATGAAACCCTTGGTCAGTCCATGCCTTGTATTATTGCCATAATGCTGCGTTTTTTTTGTTTGCTGTGCCTTGTTCTTCTTTGAGGTTATAATGAAAAATGTTTACTTTCTTGTTAGATCGTATCAGGTATATGTACAAATTGTTTCCTCGGATTCATGTACCACCTCACTTGGTAGACATGAACGATGATGAAGCCGTTCAGAAACTTCAAGAAGCCCTTGGGGAAGCAAAAGTGCGTGTGGAAAGCGTATCTTCGTTCTTGAGAGCTGCTGTAAAGTAAGTCATGGTCATATTCATGGTCATATTATGTATGTGCTTTTTGTAGGCACAACCTCTTGATGGTACTCTTTTTCACTTTGTTTTAGGTGGTCCTCAGAGTTTGGAGGCCCAAGTAGTGGAGCTCCTGAGCTGCATGTTATGCTGGCTGATTATCTCTACACTGAGTCTCCTGAATTGGTTGGCCCTTCGTGCTGATGGATTATCATGTAAAGATATTCCATAGTTTGAAATGAATACTTTTATTATTTTCCGAGCAGGACATGGTTCGAATATCATGGCATTTCGTTAGAGGGGAGGACCCCACCAAGTTTGTGTCTACACTGATCAATTTTATGGGAAAGGTGAGCTTCTTCTTTGCATAGTATCCGTGTATCTTCTTGTTTCCTCTGTGGGTGATAACATAGTGATACAATCTGTATTCAATAGCATGAACTAGAGATACCATCGTGTTCATCATACGTGTTTGCTCTTAGATTTGCATCATGCGTCTCATTGTCTTCTTTTTTCTTCACAATTTATCACTCTTTATCTTGTATCCTTTTGCAGTGCTATCCTGGTGAAGATGACTTGGCAATTGCACGGGCAGTTCTCATGTAAGCTGATCGAACCGGAGTCCATTTCCCGTCCGTATAGTACACGATCTTTAACGGGTTTGAAAGAAAACAGTGAAGAGCTTTGAGGGGCTGAAGGTGCTTATTTTTTTGGTTAGGTACTTGGCTCTGGGTAACATGCAAGACGCAAATTTTATCATGGACGAGATCAATAAACAAGAAGAGTCAGGGCAGCATCACCTACAAGAATCAGACCTTATCCAATTCATCTCCTATCTTTTGCAAACGTTAGTTGCTCCGCATCATCGTCATCAACTTCTTCTTTAAGCCCTCTTGGAGTTTTTTTTTTCCTGTTTGGGTCATACAACGTGTTTCGGTACAGGTTGCAGAGAGATGCTTTGCCCGTTTTCAATATGTTGAGGACCAAGTACAAGTCTAGCATCGACAGAGAATCACTGCTTAACGAGGTATTCAACCAATCAACGACCCGCTAATTCACATTGTTCTGTTACTTGATTCATCTGGGCTCATTTTTTTTTTCCGCGGCTAAATGCGAGCATTTATCGTTGTGAAGTTGCTCGATGACATCGCGGGGAGGTTCTATGGAGTTCAACGCAGAAATCCTTTGCAAGGAATGTTCGGCGGCATCTTCAACGTAAAAAAAAACAAAGAGAAGAGCTGCACGTTTCAATTGTATTGAAATTACATGGTTAATGGCGTCAAGTAATCGAGTGTAATAACCATTGGCCTCTCTCTCTCCATTGTGCTGCAGATGATGGGATGAAGGAGACGTCATGGCTTCTATACACAGTTTCTAATAACGAAGGTAATGAAGAGAATATTCTTGCAAACCTCTCGGGAAACAGGTTTTTCCTCCTCTTTATCCAGAAAGATTACATTACAAAAATGATATGATATGATATGATATGATATGATAGCAGAAACAAATGAAATGAATTGTTTGGATTAAAATAATGTCCTTTTTTATTCATTCATCATAAAAAGCAGTGGACAGTAATATTATCGACACTATATATAAATATTAAATATCCTAAATATGCATAGTAAATCATCTGATGAAAAATACAAAAAAAATATGAAAAACGATATTATTTCTAAAAATATAGGTATAACTAGGTATAATGGATAGGGGAAAAAATAAAGGAAAGATTAGATAAGGATTCCTTCCAGATGATGCATATCTCAATCACCACATGTGTTTCTTTTTCAAGTTACAACGTTCTACAACTCGACGTGGAATGCTCCCAGAAACAGATATTAAGAAAATTTGGTTTGCGGATCATGTTTAGTTTTATATATGACCGAGAGATATATAGACTAGGATAGCTTGATATTGTAATATTGAAATTAATAATTACTTGAATATCTATATTCTAATATAATATATTATACAAATTAGTGAAAATAATACCTAATATCGAAAATATCATTTTGTGTTTTAGGAATATCTACATGTGAAATTATATTTGGACAAAATATTAAATATTAATTTTTCCGTTACATTTGCCAACACAATATGTTTTTTTTTTCTTTAATTTCTCACAAAACGCGGGAACCGACAAGAATACACTAACTAGGTTCCCTAAAGTTGACCGGAAGTAAACATGACACGTGTCCCTACCATTGACGATTAGTTCGACACTTGGCGAACCGGAAGGACAGGTAAGACCATCACTCAGTCTCTCTCTCCTCCGAGAGAGGGGTCCCGTATCCACACAGACATTTCTGTATAACTATCTTATTTTGTAAAATGACAAAAAAAAAAAACACCACTGAAAAAATATTAAACAAAATTATAATTTCTATTTACAGAATTTTAGTTAAATATCAGATATCACGTTATTTTTAGGCAAACTAAACAATTCAATTAGGTATGATTTATGGAATTAAATTTTTAGACAATTGAACTAGAATTAAATATGGAAATATATTGGAACATATATATTTTTCACACATTCTTAAGATAAATAATTAGATATTAGAGTGGAAAATGACTTTTGGCTACGAAAACTCTCTTTCTTGGTGTTTGACAAACGAAAAAAAAAACTTTATGTACTATTAACTAAAAGAAGTAAAAATAATAATTGGATAAACAATTTTACTTTAATTAATAATTAAAAAAGGTTCATCAAATATTTCATCTTTATATATTAATCGCGCATATATATGTCAGTTTTACTGAAAATGTTGAAATTTAGAAAAGAAATATGTTTTGCAGACTCAATTTTTGGTATAACATGCAAAAAGCTCCAAACATAAACACATGCATGGATATGAAATCCAATGTTATTTGAGTATTACATACAAAAAAAAAAAAAAAGGCTACGAGATATCAGATATGTGATGTGACCATCAACAACCATGTGGAATCATTTTTTTATTTTATAATTAAATACTAATTTGTTTGTTTGTTTGTTTATGTGGTAATCTCGTGCCAACTGATTTTCAAATTAAATTAAATATCATATATTTGTTGGGTGGTTGGATCTCATGCACTATTAAAATAAAATAAATCAATGTCAGACCCTCGCATTTTCTGAAAATTTTATCTACTTACCTTACCGTATACGTTATAGTCTAAATAAAATACAATTTGACTCCAATGTAAATAAACGTGCATGTAGAACGATATTCGAAACGTTGAATTTTATTTTCGTAATATATATTTTAGGTTGAAAGACATGAAAGGGTTATAAAAGAGTTAATTACTCTACCATTATTTTTTTTCTATAATTGATATTATATGATTAAAATTTTAATAGAATTGATATGACATAATTAATAATGGGTGGATGAATAATCTTTCCATATTAACTGTGATACTATATTAATGACAAAATCGACTAATCACCTTTAAATAATCATGCGTGCTTAATTACCATATAGTTAGTATAGAAAGATCAATCAATCAATTAATTATGTTACCATATTAATAGAAAACTTGTGTTAGGATTAATGACCCCGTATAATTCGAAAATGTTTGACAGAGATGTTATTTTAACATTTTTCAACAAATTTAATCTAAAAACTTTTTGTATGTTATCATTAGATTGAAGAAAAATATTTTATACCTGAAAACCCAATAAAAAAATTATTTAACAGTAAATTTCTGAATTATAATTTTCTTTTTGTACGACAATTAAATTTGTTAAAAAAATATCCCGAAATACAGGGGTGGCCATTTCGGTTATTAACCGAATAACCGAGCCGAACCGAACCAAATAAGACATAACCGTATCCGAACCGAACCCGATATCAAAACCGAACGGTTATGATTTTCTTAAATCCGAAAAAACTAAAACCGAACCGAATAAACAAAAAAATAACCGAAAATTTCTTTGAAAAACTGAACTTGTTACCGAAACCGAGCCGAACCCGAACCGAAAAATAACCAAACCGAACCGAACCGAAGTTTAAATAAAAACTGAATGGTTATAGAAAACTATAACCGAAATAACCGAACCCGAATATAACCGAATCGAATCCGAACCGAAACCCGAGTTGACCACCTCTACCGAAACATATAATAATTAGACTTCAAAGTAAAGACTTGTCCTACCACCTTCGCCACCAAATTAAAACTGAATATTTAGAAGAAAATAAAATATGAATGAGGCAAAAGAAAATACCATTTGACAAAAAAAATACCATTTGACAAAAAAAATACCATCATAATCCACGTTGGCGGATCATCTAATAATAACGTATGGATAGATATATAACAGCAAATGGGACGATCCTCGTCGGACGGTCCATCCCCTCTCGTAATACTGTCAATTTTGTTCCGAAACTCGAAGTCTGACCCGATCAAACCCAAAAATTAGTGGATTTCAGATTTAAATTTTTCAACCCGAAAAAAATCAATTTTCGGGTCAGATTCGAATCGGGTTTCGGACTCGAGTCGGACCGATCCGAAAATCCGATATTTAAAAAAATACAAAAAAAATTATACGGATCGGTCCGGTTCAATCCGACCCGATCTGAATCCGAAATATATAAGATCAAGTTTCGCATTTATCGAATCCAAACCCAAAAAGTTCGGATTAAGTGCGGGTTCGGATTAGACCAGTCCGATTGACACCCTACTCTCCATAAATTTTTAAATTATTTAATTTTAATGTTTTATCCAAACTCGAAAATGTTTAAATATACTAACAAATTTGAAAAGCAAAATAAAGGTTTTCGTGTAGAGAGAGGTTTCCCCACGTGGCCAGACCAAACTTTTGTTTTAGGGGGTTAAGAAACAGGGGGAGAGGTTTAGGAGGCCACCGTCTGTAGCCGGTAAACCAGTACTTTTTACCGGATAATCCGGTTGCGTGGTCTTTATTATCATTTTTAAAATTAAATAAACTGTATTTTTTTAGAGAATATAATGGGTTTAAGCGTCTTCGGATTTCCGTGGTCTGTTCCTAAGGGGTTATGTGTCTTCTTCGTAATTTCTATTTGAGAGAGAGAGAGAGAGAGAGAGAGAGAGAGAGGATGAGAAGGAGGATCGATGAATTTTCCTTCTGAAATCTGTCAACTTCTATATTGTTCGTAGAATTTACAGTAGTTGTTGAATCTGGTTTCAATTTTCGTGATCTGATCGTGTAACTGGAGCAGGATCGTGGCCCGAGAATTGCTTGCTAGGTGAGTTTTGAATTGATCACAATTTGGTGTGCGTGTGTCTGTGTGTGTTTTAAATTCTGTTGGTTTTTTGTTGATCTGTTTATTCTCCGGAAGTCGGAGATGATTTTTTTTTGTTTTCCTTGATTCTCTTCTTTGTGGCGATTTTGGACTTGATGCTTGAATTTCAAATTTTCGAAAATTTCGTTTGGCGGGTGTGGTGGGAAATTGCCAGTTTGTTCGTGATCTGATCGAGGGAATCAGATTACTGATTTTTTCAGAATAATTGCAAGATTTGCAATTGAGATTCTAAGTGAATCTAGCATTTTGAGTTCAATTGCTGGATCATGCCCTTGTTTCTCTTTTTGTTTTTGTCGTCTTCTTTCCACGTGGATTGATCTCTGCTTTTGCGTTTCCGACGTATGCTTCTCGTTTCAATGATCTCCGAATGTTTTGTCCTTTGATCCGTTTTGGACTTGTTTCTCTGATCCGATCTAAATTGCTCTACTCATTCTCATGGTTACATCATCTTCCTGTTTTTGCCTCTGATTCATCATTTCGGAGTTTCTGTTCTCTTGTCAATTTTGATCTTCAAAAAGTCTGAATTAGCCTTTTGTTTGGAATTGTGCATTTAAGATCCTCACTCGAGTACTTGGATCTGCAAATATGATAAATTTAATGGAGAATATTCTGGAGAAAAGGTTAAAAAAATCGAAATAAAAAACTGTTTAGAAGAAATTTTGGGTTGGCCATTATCCATCATATGAGATATCCTTTTTTACATGGTTTTGGATTCGTAGACGTGCGTGCTTTTGCCTTTTTCAGACATTGTCTTGGTCTTGACAGCCCCTTCAAACTGTGTTTGGTATTTGATTCGTGATGATCATGGTGTTAAGTGTATGTGTTGATTCCTTTGCAGTTTATTGACCTGTTATGCATGTGCGCATTTGAGAGATGGTGTTCAAGAGAAGATTAGATTGCGGGTCCAACGGCTTTGATTTCCCAAACATACCAAAGGCTCCTCGTTCGTGCAGGGTAAATGACCACGTCAACATTTGGATCCGTTATCTTGATGTCAAATGAATTCTTTTTCTGATGAACGTGGTTGGCCGTTTCAGAGGAAGATCTTAGACAAGAGCACAGATGATCAGATTCGTGCCATTGATTTGCTTGCTTCTGTGGCTGGAAAATTACTGCAAGAGAACGAAAGTTCGTCAGCGTCTACCGATGCGTTTGAAGGGGATGATAATAATCATAATTATTTGGGTAAAGAGATTAAACAAGAACATGTAGATGAATATAAGCCGTTGAAAACACAGTTTCCCGATCAGGGGAAATCTGACTTGAAGTCTAGGGAAGAAACCACTAGCGAGAAGTGTCTGCTTAGCAAGTTTCCATTTTGCGAGAACAATGGCATTTTGGAGCAAACTTCAGTGTCTGATAATGATAAGGCTCGCGATTTGAAGGCGGCAGAGTGTGAAAACAAGAAAGGGGATGGTGGCTTCTCAAGCAAATTTGGAGGCACCGTTGGAGAGACAGGTGCTGTTTTTGTGAATACCGGGTTTGAAGAACAAGGAGAAGCAATCGATAGATTGGGAGGTGGAGGTCTAACAATGGCTGATATGTGCCACTCAAAGGATACGGCCAAATCACGTGTGCCGTTTCCTGAATCTGTTCACTCTGATGGAGACGTAAAATTTCCGTCTTGCAGGAACCCGGTCTGGAATGGTTCCTTTGCAAGACATGGGAATCATACTAAGTTAGGTAGAAGAGATGATGACGAAAACTTTTATAGGTATTACAAACTTGGCAGTAAATTTAATTTGTACAGGCCTCCAAAACGTATTGGGGATCGAAGAATAAGGAAGTTGCTGTCATCCAAGTACTGGAACGCAGTTCCCAACTTGAAGGATTATGAACACATAAGAGCTGGTTAGCATCAAAGTTTATTGTAACTATCTCTGAGAAAATTCCTTTCTTTTCGTCCTCGTCTTATTATTACATTGATTGTGGATATGTAGATGGTGGTCTGAAGGCCATGTACCGCAAAAGAAAGTCGTGCTATGGCTACAACGGATGGCAGCATGAGACCATTCACAAGCAGAGGAGAAGATCATCTGTCAGGGGCTCAGTTGTGACTTATGATGGAGGACTCAGTAGTGAAAGTGTTGCTAACTCACCCGACGTAGGAGATGCAGGTAGTTTCCGTTATTCATTATCGTGGCGCTTCATCTATGTGGTCGGAGTGGTTTTCTGATTCATGATTTTTGTTTATTTCTTCATGCAGGAAATGGTGTGCTCTCTCCCTGTATAGGTCTTCATTCCAAGGATTCTCATGGTACTAAATCATTTGATAGTTCAGAGAGATATCTTGTTTTTCCATGAAATGTTTCTTATGTTTCTTGGTGATTCCTTTCGCAGTAAAGTTCAGCATCAAGTCCTTTAGGATTCCAGAGCTTTTTATTGAAGTTCCAGAAACCGCAACAGTCGGCTCACTAAAGGTACTTTTTCTAGTTTCTTTTGCCGTCTGGTATTTCTCATCTGCTTGGTTCTGGGATGAAGACGTTTGGATATAGTCATAATCTTGATACTTTTTGGGTTATAGAGGACCGTGTTGGAGGCTGTGACTGCGTTACTCGGAGGTGGAATACGGGTCGGGGCACTTGTCCAAGGGAAGAAGGTTAGAGACGACAGCAAAACTCTATCTCAGACCGGTATCTCATGCCAAGAAAACGTAGGCAACCTTGGTTTCACCTTAGAGCCTGGCCCCGCTAAAGGGTCCGCACATTTTTGCTCAGAAGATCCTCTTATTTCTGTGCCATCTGTCTCAAAAAGTTTGTCGGAAAGGTACTCCCGATTTCGCTCTCAATATGTTCTTCTGAATCGAGATTTAAACTCTTCGGAAGCATAACCGTTTCTTATGATCTTCCCAGGTCTGCGGCTTCTCCCATGTTAGATTCTGGAATTCCTTGCTCCCTCCAAGATGCAGAAGATCTGGTTAACCCAGGAAATGGTGCGGAGAACAACCACGAAATAGTTCCATTTCGGAGCGAGGCATCAGCAGATCAACCGGGGTCAGATTCAGGAGCGCTGGTTCCAGTTCCAGCCATGGACATCGAGGCACTAGCTATAGTTCCAGTAAACCCGAAAACTAAGCATACTGACTTTGGACAACGTAGAACCAGAAGACCGTTTTCTGTGGCAGAGGTCGAAGCGCTGGTACAATCGGTCGAAGAACTCGGGACCGGAAGGTAACACACACAAGGGGTTTGGCTAATTTCACTTGCCATAGTGATATGATACTTGGGGTTTATATGGAACTAAAGATCTGTATGTAATTGTAAATTTGTAATCTCATCCTGCAGATGGCGTGACGTTAAACTGCGTGCTTTCCAGACTGCAGATCACAGAACATACGTGGACTTGAAGGTAATACATACGTACATACATCCACACCGACTCTGCATATATTAACAATCTGATTAACTATAATAGCTGTTCTTAGTGATTGGTGACGACGAGATGCATCTCGGGTATCATTTATTTCCGTTTTTATTAAAACTAATGCCCATTTGGTTTTAATATCTGCACGTAAATAGCATCAAACCGATAGCTTAACATCGTGATTTTCTCGCAGGACAAGTGGAAGACACTGGTCCACACCGCGGGCATATCTCCGCAGCAACGAAGAGGAGAGCCGGTGCCGCAAGAACTCCTGGACAGGGTCTTGGCCGCTCACTCGTACTGGTCGCAGCACCAAGTGAAACACCAAGCCGGGGTTCGGAAAACATCGGACCATCCAGCTGCCGACAGGAACCGAGTTGTTCAAACTGGTTCGGTGTAAAAGAAGTAAGGTAGTGTGCGACTTCACTTGACAAGGGAGAACAACAAGTTCACAAACTGTACAAAGGAAACAACACCAAAAACTTCGATCCTTGTTTGTAGGGAATACGGTGGGTCCCCCTAACAAGACCTTTGTTAATTTATTATCATTTTTTTTTCTTTTGTTCATTTCTCTAGTGGTTTTATTTTATTTTTCATTCTGTAGTTTGTAATTTTAGATATTCTTTGATTGTTGTTTGTTTATTCGGTAGTCCATGAACTTGCAAAGCATGAATGTATTTATCTGTTGAAAGCCTTTAGTTTCTGTGTTTTTAATAATCGATACATTATACTTATGCATCTATATATATGGGATTTGACACCGCTCTCTCACAGATTCACTCCGTCTCTGGTTCGGGTTCGTGTTGGTGCAAGAAGACGACACAGCAGAGTTACGAGTTCGGTCACCGAGCTAAAGCTCGGATCTACATCTCGGGAAGAAGAAACTGCATGTGTCGTTAGGGTTATAGCCGGAAAACACACCGGAGATCGATCGGAATCGGCTCCGATTCACGGAGAGAAAAGCTCCGTTCCGTCAAAGAGAGAACAAACAGAAAACAAAACGAGTAACGAAGAAACCCTAACCCTTGGAATCAACGAGAGGGTTCGAAACCTCTCTTCCTCCCAGCTGGTTTGCTGAAGACCAAATATATATTTGATAGCGGTTTCCTCTCTTCTCTTACAAGGAGAGGTTAAAGATGCGGTCTATTATATTATTAGACCGCAAATCAAATTTATTCGGTGGTAGGAGTAGAGTACATATGTAACTGTCCATAAATAGAGCCCTAGCTGCATCAATATATCAAGCATCTTCCTCGTCTCGGAAATGTTTCCGAGTTTCAATTGCTTTAACCACTTGGGAAAAGCTCAGAGTTTGGTCGTTGATCCAACCGTAGTTCTGCTCGATAAGATTCGGACTTCCCAACATCTCGGGATAACGTTCGACCGAATCACTCCACACGTTTTCCCCGTTCACATCTTTCAAGATCTCCCAAACCGAATTGATAAACTCAAACCCTCAACTTAATCCCATTACCAGAATCTTGTCGCTTCTCTTTAACCTCTTCTTCGCCTCCATGTACCCGAAAACATACCAAACTCCGGAAGACGACGTGTTTCCGAACCTGTGGAGAGCGCAACTGTCGACGGCTCGATGTCGTACTCGTCAAGTCCCAAGCCTTTTCCTATGGCTTCGATGTTTGCCCTAGTTGGCAGCTGTATGCAGAAATGGTTTAAACCGGTTTTCAGGTTTAGCCCTAGCCCGCCCGGTGATTTGCCTTTCGTCTTCTTTTTCAACGAGTGGACGATGGCATAACGAAGCAGCTCCTTCATGGGCAATACCTTTGGAAGCAGGACTCGAAGGTTTTTTGTCAGTGCCCTAACCGCCACATGTTTCAAGTGTTTGGTTTGTTGAAGCCCTTGGAACCCTTCTTCGTCTTCCCATGCTACATGCGTAAGCGTCGTCGTCTGCTCCAATATGTGCCCAGACCATGTTTTTGAGCTTCATGATCGCTCTGTTCTTCATCTTGGCGTTGTTTGTTTATAGAACCGAGCTCCCTCCTAGTCGGAAGAAGAAATTGGGAGGAATCATTGATCTGTCTTTGCCGTAGTAAATGTTTGGTCCAATGGATTCCGTGCTTATAACGATAGCTGTCGCGTTTTTGTACATCTTGAACATGCATTGGGCAAGATCTATCGCTATAGAACTCGCTCCACAGCCTAATCCCGAGAGATCGTAGGCTTTGATGTCCTCCCTCATCTTGTATCTGCTTATAACCTGGGAAGCCAGGGACGGGACAAGTGCGAACAACGAGACATTCACGATGAGAACGTCGATTTCCAAAGGAGAAACGCCCGTCTTCGCAAAGAGATTGTCTAATGAAGCGAACATAATCTCGTCCATCTCGGAGTATGTGTCGTGCAAAGTAGGGGAGTCGTCTCTGCCTTCCTGACGTTTCTTGGGGCGTAAGTCTCCTCCCCGAGACCCGAATTAACCATAGCCCTCACAACAAACTGGGTTCTTGCACCGGATCAACGCCCGCATAAACGTTTCGCTGCCGAGCTTACTCTCATGTTTCCCCTTGTAGCACTCGTAGTGAAGCACGAAACATGAGCGATTTCTCCTGTCGAGAAGCGATCTCAAGAGGCAGAAGATGACGTAAGAGAGAAGCGATAGATATGCCAGTACGAGGAGCTCCATGGGAGATTGAACTGAATGCGTACAAGAGACACTACAAAAAATCCTCGAATTCCAATGGATTTGTCCGTTGGAAAATTTCCAACGGATTTCCAACGGCGTTTCAACGACGATTTCCGTTAAAATTCTGTTGAAAATTTTCAACAGATATCCGTTGGAAACACCCGTTGGAAATTTTTAACGGAATTTTTAACGTATTCAATTGAAAAATTGGGTTGAAAATTTCCAACGGTATTTCCAACGGATGCCGGTTGAAATTTTTTTTGAAAATTTTTAAAAAAAATTCCAACGGATGCCGGTTGGAAATTTGGATTTTAATTTAAAAATCAATTGAAATATATATATTCGAATTCATATATATGTATGTATAATATATATTTGTTATGACTAGGGGTGTCAAAATGACCGGATCGGGGTCGGCCCGGCCCGAGCCCGACACAAGCCCGAATATTTACGGGTCGGGCCGGCCAGGCCCGGAAAACCAACGGGCCTAAAATCTTCGGCCCGGAGCCCGGCCCTGTGGACTTTTTTTGGGTTCGGGCCGGGCTTCGGGCTTGAAATTTTTTTAAAAAATTATAAACAAATTAAAATAATAAAAATACAAAAAATTTTAATACATTTCGTGATAATAAAAAGATAAAAAATAGATTACAAAGTTATATATTTTGATCTAATATAAATTTAAATTTAAATTTTTTTAATTTTATATGGTAATAAATTTTTAAAAATGATAAATTATTATATTTTTCATTTGGAATAATTATTTGAAACTAATAGTATTATAATTTTGATTATATCATTTATGAAAATATTATATCCTAAATTATTTAGTATTAAAGTAGTTTTTAGTTTTTAGAACTTTCTATATTATATAATATTTGTATATTTTTTATACATGTATATACATTATAAATATATATATATATATATATAAGATTGAATAAATGTATATATATATGATTAAATATGTGTGAATATATATATGTATACCTATATTTACCTATATACACATATATACACATATATTTATATATATAATTTATATTTTAATCGAACCGGCCCGGCCCGAAAAACGAACGTGCCTTGATTTGTGAAGCCCAAGCCCGTAAATTTTACGGGCGGGTTCGGGCCGGGCTTCAGGCTATTTTCACACCCTTAGAAACGACCATTTTTTTGTAGTTAGAGAAAGGGGTCTTCTCCTTGTTGTTATCGTGTTTGGTAACGGTTACCCATCCAATAACTGCTGTCCGCTAACTATCTTGTAGAATTTTTTTTTTTTTTTTTTTG